AGATGATTGTGATAATTGTTAAGGGAATATAGAATTTGGGAGTAAATTATGAATTAAATTGGTCTTGATTGCTAAATTTTTTATTAGAGTACCGAGATGAAGGTCTCTAATCGTGTGTCATCAATTTGAATAAATGATGTTGAATGAACTGATCCGAATGAAGAAATTTCGATGCTTCACTGCCTTAAATAATTGAATTTTATCTCACATTTTTTATATTAATTTAATTGATCAATAATTCAATTCTCCCACAAATTTAAGAGAACAATTCACTCCCTTTGGAACCTTTGACAACTTTTCCATCTTCCTGTGGACACGACACCCCAAAACTACACTACAATATCGCGTAAATCTTTGGGCGTAATCAAATCCCAAATTGAAAATTCTATTTTCCAAATTATCAAAATTTCCTTCCCACAATCACCTTTTGTACATTGGAAAAGTTAAAGTATCATTTCAAGAACCAAAAGCAATTTGTGGGGTTGGATTATAAAAGGGTTCTGCTTCTAGGGTTAGTCTGTTGGAGACAATGGAGAAAGTGGAGGACGATTTGTAAAGTTCCACTACAATTTGGATGAAAATCAAAGTCCATTTTTTCCAGCATGAAAGAAAGCCTGGGGAAGGCGTGGTCGGAGGTCTTCAAGGAGGATGGTTCAATTAATTCAAACTGTGGTCGACGACGGCCAATCCACAACGTGTTGATGATGAAAACACTGCCACGAGGCAGTTCTTGATGCACTAGACCTATACATTTCCATCTTATATAGAGTATTGTAGTGAAAGAAAAGTCAAATGCCTGCTACAAAGTCAGCTTGCACTGCGGTACTTCCATTAAATGATTGACCTGCATAGGAAAACCAATTGTCTCATAGGTTATGATGCATCGAAGTTGCCCCTCCAAGAAGATGGGGACAAGAGCAGGAAGTTAAGGATGAACGAAAGAAATGTGGCCGAATAGGAAACAAGGAAAAAGCTCTTATGGTGAATTGGAGGATCGTAAGGGCTCCCAGCCCACGACATCACCGTTACATGACCAGAGAGTACGCAAGCGTCCTAAAGGAATTGCATGGTGGGGACTCAGCTCAAATCATTATCTAAATGAAGAGAGAGCCTCATCTTTGATAAGGTATTAATTGTAGATACCATCAGGTATACGCCCACGATACCTTGAAATGTAGGAGCATGAGGAGAGAAGTGGGGGAAATTTTTTTTCATACAAACCTCAATGAAAGCCTAGAAATCTCCACAATAGAGAAAAAAAGAAGGAATAAATTGAAACCAATTATATATAGCCTCTGTTTGAGCCACGTTAAAATTCTTATTCTCATTCTTCCACTCATTTTCAATCACATATTTTTCAATAAAATAATATTTTTCATCGCATCAATAATTTTTCCTTCTTTTTCAGCCCCACATTCTCCATCAATCTACTATTCCAAAATACATTTATCCAAAATAATGTGGCTCAGA